CACTCCGGAAGGGCCCTCCGTGTGACCCTAACCTGCAGCTTGGCAACCAAGGAGCAGTCAATAGCTGAGCAATGTGTCGCCAGTCATGGCCGTTCCTGTCCGAGGCCTGGGACGGAGACCCATTCCAGAGACGCTCCGAAGGTAAGCTAGGTACGACGTCGTCGCTTCGAGAATCCGACTCATGTCGACAACCAGGTCTGAGGGAACCAGAAATGACACAGGACGGAACATGCAAATGGACGGTTTGGAAAGCGGGAAGCGCAATATGATATCAGCTCTGCAGCGGTAGCACGACTTCAAAGGACCGAAACCGCGGAAATGAGACCAGAGTTGCAGCGGGAGCACCATTTGGAAAGGTTGGAGGCGCGGAACCGAAGCTAGCGCTGCAGCAGGAGCACGATTTGGAAGAACCGGAATAATGAAATGAGGTCGGCGTTGCAGCGGGCATTTGTGCTGGAAAGATCGAGAACGAGAAAATTGGAAGAACGTTGCAGTGGGAGCGCCATTCTGAAATGATTGAAAAGGTTCGGATTGGAAAAAAGCAACTGCACGTTCAATTCGGTGGCATCCTGTGTGTCAATCTAATTCGCGGAGGAGGCCAGGACACCTCACCTTGTTTCCGGGGGAGAGCAGAAATATTCATATTGTGTAATGGTGAAAGAGGCACGCCCGCCGAGCAAGCGAAGCCTCGCGCCTCTCCCGCCCCCAGCCCCACCTACCCCCAGCGCGCTCCCCAGGCGAGACGGCGCTGGAGCAGTGGCGCATGCTGCCCGACGGCCGGTTTCGAGGCGGGCCCGCCTCGCTATGAAGGAGAAGGGCTTGTGAGGGAACCGGGTCCTGGAGTGCTTTCCGGTTTCCACGCCCATGGAGCCTTCCACGGGCCCCAGGACCGTCAAGAAGTTATGCGGGGTGAATGGCTGGCCTTCCGGAAAGACCCAGGGTCAAGGACCCGTTTGCCGCAAGATCCGTTTCTGTCGTGGCCGTTTCTTCCGCTTCCTCCACCAAGACAAGATTCGGAACAAAAGGAGGTTCCCAGGAGGAGGTCGTGATCACCTGGTGCTTACGTGGCGAAAAAATGTAACAGATAAGGGTTCGTATCCTAGAACCCTCTGAACGTGCGCGGGTTGCCTCCTTCCTGCTCGTCACCCAGCGTTTTGTCTGCTGCTGCCGCGAGGGTTGCGCAGGTCGTTACCGAGCAGTAGAGGAGCAGGAGGAGGTGGTCCTCTTCCTCCTCCTCCTTCTCCTCCTCCTCTTCCTCCTCCTCCTCCTCCTCCTCCTCCTCTTCCTCCTTTTCCTCCTCCTCCTCCTCCTCCTCCTCCTCCTCCCTCCTCCTCCTCCTCTCCTCTTCCTCCTCCTCCTCCTCCTTCTCCTCTCCTCTCCTCCTCCTCCTCCTTCTCCTCCTCCTCATCTTCCTCCTTTTCCTCCTCCTCCTCCTCCTCCTCTTCCTCCTCCTCATCCTCCTCCTCCTTCTCCTCCTCGTCCTCCTCCTCCTCCTCCTCCTCCTCCTGCTCCTCCTCCTCTTCCTCTTCCTCCTCCTCCTCTTCCTCCTCCTCCTCCTCCTTCTCCCTCCTCCTCCTCCTCCTCCTCCTTTTCCTCCTCATCCTCCTCCTCCCTTCCACCTCCTCCTCATCATGATCATCATCATCATCGTCATCATCATTATCATCATCAGCATCATTACCATCATCATCATCATCCGAATAGGACAGGTCCGTTGCCGTCTGGCCCACAGCGGGCCCACGAACCTGTTTAGTGTTGACAGAGAGAAGACCGCCGCTTTGCCATCTCTCATGGTACCATTGCCGCTACGTCTTTTACCCTTCACCATTGCTACCGGCAATTCTAGTTGGCAGCGGAGCTGGGAGCGATCCCAGCTCGCGATCCACGGAATTGCGCATAGTGCGATGTGGACACATTTGCATTCTCCCCTATCTGTTCGTTGGTACCACCCTCCGTCCCACGAACGGCCTGTGCTCACGGCTGTTCTTTGGAACGTCTGGTAATCCGCCCTGGGCGCTCACAGGCGACGATGACGACAAACGCCGTATGCCGTATGAGACGTGCGACAGTCCAGCTGCGCAGGGCAACAGCAGCCGCAGGCCTTACCGCGAACACGGGAACGCCACGACGTTCCCCGACCCATCGCCCACAGGCACTGACCGCAGCTTCGCGTCGGGCATGAGTGCGAGGTTCCTCTCTGGGCTAATGCTGTGCCTCGCGATGTGTGCGACAGTGCTTTTTGTCTTTGCGAGCACGTCGCACGACTCGAATGGAGCACTGAACGCCACTGTACATATACCACCACCCTTGGCACCAGTCAAGGGCAACAGCACTACTACGGCTGCCACCTGCTTCAACCTGGTGTTCGTTCTTGCGCAGGCCCGAGCCCCAAGGCGCTTCCGGAACTCACATCGTGGTGGATTCGCATCGACGAGGATCCCCATGTTGGCGCCCGAGGGCAGCAAGCCACTCATCATGAATTTAGTGTGGCCGATGCATGTATTTGCTTCGTCTGTGAACCGCAGCCGGCCAGACACGCATCCAGCGAGTGTTGGTGACACCACATCCAGATGCAGCCAGCACGTCGGTTACGCCACGACCACTGCTCACGCGGGTTTTTCGTCGCATCCGCCTCTTCTACCATTTCGGCAATTCCGAGCTGCCGTCATTCGTCTTCTGCTGGTTTTTCCTCGACTCGGTCTTCGGGGCGGACCTCATTACCACCTACGCAAGCACTCTTCCAGGATGAGGCGTTCAGGCATGTCGCTGGCAATTGTTGCTGTCGTGCCGCGTGCTGCCTGGAAGCCTTGTCACACACCGTTCCCCAAGGCACGGGGGCATGGCCCAGCGTATCTGCTACACCGCGCGCGGCCTTGGCCACAACCACTTGTCACTTACCACTGGCACGCCGTCCGTTCACTTATTCAACAGGGTAGGAATATTGAGCACGATTGACAGGCAATCGGGGCAGAGCTGCGCCACTCACTTGCCAACAGGACCTTGTGTCCTACGCTCTGCTGCATGCGGTGCGTCCTGGCGTTCGGACGCACGATGTACGGAATGTGCAGCTCCAGGCACGCTGACACGTTTGTTGTGCCTTCGGCCGCAAGATCACGTTTACGCCTTAAGCTAAACCGTTTTGTATAGGCACGTGGCCATACTTACGGCAATATGTGCACCCTCTGCCACTGCAGCTTCGGACAGAGAGGTGTGCACGTTTGTCTCGTCAGTGTCAACTGTCCGATCACGTAGGACTCGCTGGTGGGCAGCACGCCTTCGCATTGCCAGCGCGCGGCAGTGCAGGCCTCGCGGTGCATTCTACCTACACGCACCCATGTGCTGCTCAGCGCGCCCGGGGCATTGCCCATGCCCGGTGATGCAGCTGCGCAAGCACGGTTTGCTATGCCTTGGCGTTCCTGGGCGTCGTGCCACGCATGCTGGGGCATGGTCAGTGCCCGGCGGCGCCAGCACACGCGACGTGCACCGCCCGCGCGCACCTACGCGCCTTGCAGCGCATGCTGGGCATCAGTACGCTCAGTCGTGCGCTAAAGCGTGCGCAAAGACAGAGGCGTGCCACGCTTGCGCCCAACAACGCACTGTGCTACGCACGCTGGGGCGCCGTTCCGCCCGGCTGCGCGCCTGTGCACGCGTAGGCTGGCGCACCAAGCACACCTACGTATGGCCAAGCTCGTCTCCAACCACCTCTTGGAGCTCCTGCTGGCACCGATGTTGGTTCTCGCAACCCACAACACTCAAGCTACAATCGGCTATTTCACACGGAATGCAGCTCACAGAGACCTTATGCGGGCCCGGTCAGCCGGCATGCGATTTCAGCCCGTGTGCACGTTTACCAGATTGCAAGTTTTTGTTTGTATTTCTACTTCAATCCACCTACACAACCACATCACCGCCGCAGCGAATAGGAACTGTCAAGGCACATGCCAGCCGACGAGGGCAGTGCTACCTCACTGCACACCGCCTCTCAGCTGTGCACTCACCACTCGGCAGAATCTACCTTCAGCATGAAGCCTGCTGCGGGTCTGGCACTTGACTCGTCCAGCACATTGTCACCTGCTGGGCCGCCGTCTGACGGAGGCGTGCCTCCATTGAGGTCTCGCTGGCCGACTCAACGGCTCGGCGCCCCCTCGCTGAGGGCGTGCCTTGTCGGCCCGCACCGCTTGCGGTCTGCACCTGTAGTTTGAGTCGTCGCCCGACGATCCAAGGGATCGAGCTCCACAGAGCTCTACGCCCCCTTTCCGACGGACCGCGCTGTCATTCGCTAGGCCGCCAAGTCCATGCAGAGCCAAGCATAACATGCAAGCATTGTGGATTACACGCATTGCTCTGCAACCGAAGGACCTGGTTATGATCTTCGCCGACACGTTTCACACCACATGCAGTCAGTCTTATTGAGAATCGCGTGGGGTTTCTTGTCACATATATCCTCTGCCTGGGCCGATATGGTGTATGTGTGTTGACTATCCCGATCGCTTCGGCTTCGACCTACATGTGCGTCTCCGTGTTCATATCCATCGTGTTCTACATGTTTTTCTCAGTTACCTGCTTCCTCTTTGTCTCCCCGGCGGCCCGGCGTTTGTCTCCCCGGCGGCCCGGCCGACCGGCCGGAGAATTCGGCTTTTCTCTCCCCGGCGGCCCGGCCGACCGGCCAGAGAATTCGGCTTTTGTCTCCCCGGCGGCCCAGATTCGGGGTACCAAAAAAAAAAGTTACCTGCTTCCTCTTTGTCATCTTTGTCCCAATGCAGTAGTTCGTGTTTTACCAGGCCCTCCTCTCCACCCTCTCTGCTCACGGTTCTGAGATCATGGCCTCTACGCAGTGCCCCGGGCCAGCGGGAAGGCGCGCAGAGGGGGGGGCCGGTGCTCCGAGCCGCAGCACCCTACGACAGGGCCAGCGCGCACGTTGGCGCGCAGCTCTGCCTGGCCAAGGTGCGCGTGCACACTGGCGTTTTGGCGCCCACGGCTGTGCGCCGCAAGCGACAGGAATGCCCGTCCAAGCGTTCACTGCTCACTCGGTCTCCGCTGCCACCACGCCACGGACCAAGGAGCACCAGCTGCTGCTGGATAGGCTAGAGGACGAGGAGGACGCAGAGAGTCTGAGGCCGCAGGAGGCAAGACAAAAACTCGCGGCGAGGAGGACGACGCCAGGCAGAGGACTAGGAGAACAGTCAGGGGGAGGAGGGCGTGCGAAGGCAACCACCACACGACGACAGAGCGAGGCAGTACCACCACGCGGTCTCCAGATCCGCCCAACTCTGCGTCCGCTCAGCCGTCCCCTGTTCGCACTCCTAATCCACTTCCTCCATCCTGATACCTCCCACGGAAGCTGCTGCCGGACCGACGCCCGGCAAGGGCGTCTGGAGGCCGATTATGTGCGTGATCATACGCACTTATCCGAGGAAGTAAAGCTCAGAGGCGATTTGCTTGGCCGTTTCGCTCAGGACCTTTTCGAAAGTATGAAAATCGATCGCACCCCTCACAGACCGCGATGTCACGGTCAAAAGCACAAAGGAATTTCAACATGTTACCATGAAGATTGCAACAGCACAATGGGTTTCAACGGTTTGGGACGTCGATCTAAGAGAAACAGCCGTTTCGCGTGAGGCATCCCCCAACATTGAAAACCGACGTATTCAAAGTTGTCCTCATCTTCTTCACAACGACAGCTTCGCTCGGAACATTCTCCAAGAATTGGCTGCGGAGGTCTTTTCACCTGCAATCGCAAGGCGTGGAACACCCTCCTGCGCCACACACACGCACACACACACACACACACATCGCATGATGTTGCAACCCCACGTACTTTCGACTGCGATCCCGCCTTTGCACCGCCTTCCAAACAGCCCCCTGGTGATCCTCATAATTTATTATCTTTCTTCCCCATCCTCGGATCCGACTTCATATTTCTCTTATTGTCAATGTTCTGCGGTACAGTGAGCGTCTTGAGCAAGGAACACTTACTTTTCAAAATGGGCTCGGCCGTTCCTTAGGCTCGCATGCGTTATTTGTTATTCCTCATGTGTTATGTATTATGTATCGTTCCTTATGCGTTATTCCCTTGAGAAGAAGGGGCTTCGTTCCATATGTATCGTTCCTTAGGTCAGGCCGATGATTGTACGTACGTGTTGTTGTTTTGTTGTATGGGCTTGGGCACGCATGTGCCACATGTATGCGTGTGTGCATACACATATAGATATAAGTGTAAGCGCATGTATTTCTAGATGTACGTGTGTATACCTATGTATACAAGTCTATGTGTGTACGTGCATCTGCATACGATGTGATTGCTTGACAAACGACACACAATAGCGAGCAAACAAGCAAAACACGGCCCTCACAAAGCAAAACAACCAGCCGCGTAAACACGCACACGCACACACACACACACACACATACACACACACACACGCACACACACACACACATGCACATGCACACACACACACACACACTTTCTTGCGTCGGCGGCTAGGCAGAGTCACTGCGATGGCCATGAGGCGTTGGTAGATGTACGAACGCGAATGGAGCCACCATGCAGGAGGAAGAGGGAGAAGGCAGCACACACACACACACACACACACGTGTTGCTTCTCTGCTGGCTGGTCCAACGCAGCGAGTGTTACGGCGGAACATGCGTAGATTGATTACCACCCAGCGTCTGCGAGTGGGTGGTCAGGACAAAAGGAGGGAGCTGACGCTTGCAGGAAAAGGGGGCTGGAGCCAATGAGTTTGGAAGATGCCTAGGCCATGCAGAGAAGCGTACAAGTATACGAGAAGTGCACGATCAGGTCAAAGGCACCATCAAACGCGACTCACCTAAGAGTGCGAGACAGCGAAAGGGGGTGCAAAAGATAGCACTGCTGTGGCGAGAGTGCGGCCGGCTGCGAAGGCGGTAGGTACGCACAGGCCGAAAGAGAAAGTTCTAGACGCCTCGCGTAACCCTACTAGCCCATCCAGAAACGATGCCCAGACGAGTTGCCCTGATCAGGGATGTGGAGGAGCATGCAGCGGAATAAAGGGCAGGGTAAGACGTCATACCCCAAGAGGGAGAGGATGGAGGAGGAATCGGAGGAGCAGGAGGAGGAGGAGTAGGGAGAGAGGGAGGGGGAGGAGGGAGGAGGAAGGAGGGGGAATAGGCGGATGTGAAAGAAGAGGAGGAAGAGGAGGAGGAGGAGGAGGAGGAGGACAGCCCACACACATACACACACTTTTAAGTCGGCGGCGTAGAGGATCCTCAGGCGTGGGCAGCAGATGGAGGTACCAATTGCAACCGAGAATTGTCGATAGCGCAGCGTGCAGCAGCACACGGCAGCATGCAAGCGATGGCTGTGAAGAGGAACTGTAAGTCCATGCGAACGTGCAGCGGCCATAAAACGAGAAATTAACTCAACTCAGTTAACTGAAGCGCGGGTGTCAACGGCAAATTGCGGCCATTGAATCACAACAGCGGTGTTAGGCAGCGAAGCGCGGGTATTAAGTTGAAAAGCAGATCGGTATTGTGACCAACCGCTCGACCGAAGTTTATGGGTGGGGTAGAAACAATGGACCAAAAGAACAGGATGGGTGGGGGCCGCCGCGTGACAGCATCAAACGCGCGCAGCTATATAACGGGCATGCCGGGCATTGCAATCACCAAGCTGTAGTATCATCGGACGCGCCACCTGCCAACAACTACTACACTCACACACGTTTCTAAGTCGGCGGCGCAGAGGGTCCTCAGGCGAGAGCGGCAGATGAAGGTGCCAATTGCGATGGAACTTGGTCGAAAGCACAGTGCACAACTGAGCACACTGTCAAATGCATCGATGGGTGGTGTGAAGGTAAAACTGCAAATCCGGGCGACTTGTACAGCGGCCGGAAAACCGAGGAGGCAATTCAATTCGAGATAAATTGAAGCGCGAGTAGTCCAGTGCGAATTGGCGGCCATTGGGTCACCATAGAAGTGTTAGACAATGAAGACACACACACATACACACGCGCGCGCGCGCACGCACCCACATTCGGGCGCACGCGGTGGGAGCGGAAACACACACACGCAGGAACGCACGCACGCACGCACGCACGCACGCACGCACGCACGCACGCACGCACGCACGCACGCACCCACACACGCACACACGCACGCACACACAATTGCTGGGGGGCGGAATCCGCTCGAGCGCTCAAGAGTCAGTCTCGGGCGAAGCGAGGCCAGCACGGCTCGACCCTGGAAACCCGGCAAGCGAGAACGCGCCAAGAGAGGCTACCAAGGGCCGGCCTTGGAAAGTTGGCACGTGGACACGCGCCGGCCATGAAAACCAGCAGGTGAAAACGCGTAGAGTTCAGTCGGGCCTGTCCCCTCACAGGGGGATTTTCGACGAAAAATAAAAAATACCCCAAAAATGTAAAAAATATTCAAAAAAATAGCCCCCTGATTATTGTTGGACTATTTTTAATTATTTTTGGTATTTTTTATTTTTCGTCGAAAATCCCCCCGTAGGGGGATTGGCCCGACTTAAGCGTAGAGGAATGCCTAGACAGGCGACCAAGGGTTGACCCTGGAAATCCAGCAGCCGAGAGCGCGATGGGCGATGCGGCCACCGAGGCTCGACCTTGGGAAGGTCGGCCCTGCGAGAGCGTGCCGCGAGGGGCTGCCGGGGAGCGGCCCTGGAACGGGCGGCGGGCGAGAGAGCGGGGGGCTCGCAGGCCCTTCACGGGGCACTCGCGGGGGTGGCAAGCAGCGGGAGCAGCAGGCAGCGGCGCCACGCGGGCCCTCGCGGGCCAGGCCCCTGAGGGGCGGCGGGGGGCAGCGGGCAGCGGCGAGACGAGGCAGAGCTCTCGAGCGCGTGCAGGGGAGAAGAACGGCCTGGAGAGAGGGGGGGGACGACGCTACCGACGGGAGAAGGACGAGGAGGACAAGAGGGAGGAGGACACGGCGCAACATCTTGAGGTGCGAAATCACACAAACCTCGCATTGAGGAGCAATGCGGAGGCAGAGGTTCAAGCCCGTCTAGAGGGAAAAGAACAGCCACGGGATAAGGGGACGACGCTGCCGACGGGAGGAGAACGAGGCAAGAGGGAGGAGAACACAGCCAGAAGCCCCTGAGGTGCGAAAACGCACCCACCTCGCCTCGCACGGAGAAGCAAGATGAGGTGCAAAAGTACAAGGACTGGCACTCGAGAGCCAGAGGAAGCATTCGGGATACCATAGGAAGTGGACACACACACACACACACACACACACACACACGCAGCCAACAACTTCTTGTTACGCCTGGACGCGAAAACGCCCGGCGTGGCAGAACTGCGACGCCCAGATCTGGGGGCCTCTCGATCTCGAGGAGGGGCCCCCGGAGCGGGACCCAGCGGCCAGGGACCACCCCGGACGGGCTCATCGTCGAGTTCGAGGGCACGATCGTCGGGCCGAAGGACCCGGGCATCGTCATAGGCCCAGGCGCGGGGGTTCGGGCAGGGGCAGTCTTCCTCTTCCTCCTATCTCCCCCCTCACCTCCCCTTCCTCGTGCTCCCAATTTCGGCGCTGCCGAAATTGACCACCCAGGTCTCCGACGATCTCGATTTCGACCTTTGGGGCCAAACATTGCACCCCAGGACCATCAACGAGGACGAATGGCCCGCGGAACGCCTGGCCGCCGGTGCTCCGAAAAGAGGCTCCGAGGATGCCCGGTGTTCCGAAAAGAGGCCCAAGTGTGGCTACGGGCCTGGAACTCGGCTCTCCTCCCCAGCTTGCCTCCCCCCGAGGCCTTCGGCGCACGGGCCTCCGTCGGGTCCACGGCGGATGAACCAACCGCCTGGGGACGGAGCAGGGCCGAGACCGACCTCACTGCGGCGCACGACTCCATGTCGCACGCGGTCGCCCGCGAGGCTCTGCTCCACTCCTGGCACGCTGCCGCCGGTGGCGCGGTGGCTCTGGCACGCGTGGGCCGCCCCCCGCGTTTGCTGCGTCGCTGGGGCCACGGCGCCGGCCCTCCGCCCCGCCGCCGGCATCCCCGCCGGGTGCCCCTGCTCAAGCCGGGTCCAGGGGGCCGTCTTGCTCCCGCAGCACTATGTTGGGCGTACACATACTGAGGCCCGCTCCTGGCCCTACGTCGACGACCGAAACGTGAAGAGCACCGACGCTGAGGCACGCTCCGAGGCCTCAACGGTGACGGCCGCCCTCGCCAGCCGCGTGGGCTCTCCGAGCGCACCGGCAAGCTGCAGTTCTGGGAGGACGACGGGTGCGCGGAGCACTTGGGCCACCTCGCTTCCCCTCAGGTCCAGGGTCCTCACAACGGTAGGGGGGTCATGGAAGATTGCATTCGCAACACACCACAGTAGCATAAACATCCGCGCCCTGACGGCGGTCATGTCCGTGGCCTCGAAATACCGGTGGGCTGTCTCCTTCGTGAAATGCCCCCCCCGACCCCCTGGTCAGGTTCACTTTCTGGTTGGCCGCTCGCACCCGCTGCACCTGGTCGGACCAGCGGCGCTGGTGGGCCGAACGCCTCGAGCTCCACCCCGTCGTCGGCACCTTCCTCCAGGCCTTCTGCCAGGCCGCCCGCTGCCCACGGTCGCCCCACTGGCGGTCGTGTGTGGCCCACCACGTGGCGACCTTCGGGCTTGTCTCCCACCCGGACTCCCAAAGGCTGTTGGCCGTCTGGGTTCTGCGCTGGGCCCGGCATCGATCCTCGTGCAGCGACCGCTGCGGACGAGGCCGCGGCTGCCTCCAGCTGCCCGCCCTTCCTCGACGTTTCCTTTCCCCGCGGCCAGCACGTCCTGCGCGTCTGCGCGCGTGCCTAGCTGTCTCCAGGGTCGGGCCCGGCAGGCCCAGGCACGACGAAGAGAGGATGCAGGACATCGACCTCGAGTCCTCCTCCAGGTCCCCCTGGACCCAATGGCTCCTCTGACTAAAGACCGTTTTGGTGTGCTTGCGATGTGGCGCGGAGGGGCCGCCTGGACTCCGCCAGGCACTTCTGGGCCGAGTGCGGCCACTTCGCGCCAGATCGCACCGCCCGAGGTCGGGCGCACGGCGTCGACGCGGACTGGTGGGCGGCTCGGCCCCGCGTCACCGCCAAGACGGGTTGGGTCACCACCACTTCTGGCCGGACCTCTCTGGACCGGTCCCAGCTGCAGGCGATGGCGCGCAAGCTCTGGGGGCCTTGCCCCGGGACTCCAGCCTTGCTCCGGCCCCGAGACTGGGCCCGCGACTCGGCGACAGACGCCTGCCGGCACGTACGCCGCTCCGTCCTCGAAGCGGCGTCCCGCGCCTCCTCCCCCCAGTCCCCCCTCCTGACCCGGCTCAGGTGGTCGTGGCGCCGGACCGACAATTGCCGCGACGACGGCGGCCCCGACTCCGACGACCGCCCCCCGCCCCTCCCCCACTAGGTGGCGTGGTGTGATGTGGCTGCATGCCCCAGAGCCGAACACTGGAGCTTTCTCCAGCCCCCCCGACGCCCGGCCGACGCTCCCGGCGGAGGGTGGAGTCTCCACCGGGGAGGCTTTGACGGCCTCGTCTTACCTCCTCCCCTCCCTGTCCTCGCCAGACTAGGAACCGAGTTGGCTAGGTTGAGTTGGCGTTTCTTCCCCAAACAGGTGCTTGCACTTAAGGGTTCTTACTTGCGTTAACCATCTCGGAACCCTCCCCGCAAGATCGCCGCCGTGCCGCCCGTCGCCGCCCGTCGCCGTCGCCACCCGTCGCCGCCATTGCCACCCGTCGCCGCCCGTGCCGCCCGTCACCGTGGCTTCGGGACCATCGCCGTAAAATCGCCGCCGTGCCTCCAGTTGCCGCCCGTCGCCGCCCGTCGCCGTCGCCACCCGTCGCCGCCATCCCCGCCCGTCGCCGCCCGTGCCGCCCGTCGCCGCCCGTCGCCGCGTCGCCGTCGCCGCCCGTCGCCGCCATCCCCGCCCGTCGCCGCCCGTGTCGCCTGTCGCCGCCCGTCGCCGCCCGTCGCCGTCACCGCCCGTCGCCTCCATCCCCGCCCGTCGCCGCCCGTGCCGCCCGTCGCCGTCGCCGCATCGCATACATTGCACCGCATAGATTGCATTACATAGGTTGCATCGCACACATTCTCCTTTCTAAAAAGATAAATAGACTCTACCCCCCCCCTGGCGTTATCGGTCCCCCTTTCGGGCATGTAAATCGTATATGGTTATGACCACATGTCCATCCTAAATATGAAATCACAATGTCCCAGGCCAACCGGGTTCCCCCCCCTAAGGTTCCTTTGTAAAAAACACTATGCGGTGACAGTTGTTGTTCTAACATAACATTTGTTCACGAATCCCTTGTAAAAAATGGGACGAAGTGCACACGCGCTCGTCGTCGCGCGCGCATGCCGAAATCCTTCAAAAACATTCGGTGCCAGAAGGATTTCGCAATCGAGTGTCCAAAAAACATACAAAAACACCTGGTTTCGCAACACTGATTTGCTAAGAAGGCTTCCGCGCGAGCTCTTGCGAAATCTTAAGAAAACCATAGGTATTTCAAGATGTTCACCAAAATGCTATTAAACGGGCTTCGCGCGCGCGCATGTCGAAATCTGTCGAACGCCCTTGCGCGTGTGCCGTCGCGAGAGTCCTTTTGCAAAAAATGGGACGAAGTGCAGACGCGCGCGTCGTCGCGCGCGTATGCCGAAAACCTTCAAAACCCATCGGTTTCGGAAGGATTCCAAAATCGTGTGTCCAAAAAACCTACAAAAACACAAGGTTTCGCAACACGGATTTTCATCAAAATCGTGCGCGCGCGCTCTTGCGTCGTCGTCGTCGTCGTCGTCGTCGTCGCCGTCCTCCCTCCTCCCGCGTCGTCGTCGTCGTCGCCTACGTCGTCCTCTGTCTTTCCTCGTGTTCGTCGTCGTCGTCCTCTTTGGCGTCGTGGTCGTTTCCGTCGTCGTTGTCGCCGTGGTCGTCCTTCCTCCTCCTCCCTCGTCGTCGTCGTCGTCCGTCGTCGGCGTCTCGTCGTCGTCCCTCCTATTTCGTCGCCGTCGTCGTCGTCGTCGTCGTGTCGTCGTCGTCTTCCCTCCTCCCTCGTCGTTGTCGTCGTCGGCGTCGCCGTCCTTCCTCCTTCTTCGTCGTTCGCGTCGTCGCCGTCCTCCCTCCTCCCTCGTCGTTGTCGTCGTTGTCGTCGTTGTCGCCGTCGTCGTCCTTCCTCCTCCTTCGTCGTCGTCTTCGTTGGCGTCGTCGTTGTCGTCGGCGTCGGCGTCGTTGTCGTCGTCGAAGTCGTCGGAGACGTCGTCGGTTTCGTCGTAGTCGTTGTCGTCGGTGTCGTCGTAGTCGGTCTTAAGAGGTTTTGCAAACCAAGTTGCGGGTGGGTGGGTGGGATGGTTGCAAGAGCGTGGGATGTGTCAAATCATGGGTAAAAACCAATTGCGCCACATAGATTGCACCGCACAGACAATCACATAAATTATACCACATACGCAGCACCACATAGATTGCATTACATGGGTTGCACTACATCGGTTGCATCGCATACAATCTCCTTTCTAAACAGAGAACAGACTCTACCCCCCCCCGGACTTATCGGTTCCCCCTGGGATATTATGATTTACATATACATACATACATATATGGGGGATTCCGACCCCGGGGACCCGCAGGGCCCCCCCCTTGTACACAGGTAGTGCCCCCCTCCCAGGAGCCCTCCGAGACCCGCCCCCGAGGCTCAGAGCAGCCCCAAATCCGCCCAAGATTGTTTACAGATGGCCCAAGAGCTCTGCAAGACGCACCAAGAGGACCCCAAGAGCGCTCCAAGACGGCCCAGGAGGCCCCCAAGGGTGCCCGAGAGGCTTCCGAAAAGGTCCTCGAGAGATTCGAATCTTTCACAAACCAGCGGGAAATTTATATCATTGGCCTCAGAGGCCCTCAAGACGGCCCAAGAGGCCTCCCAGAAGGTCACCAAAAGGCAAAAACAGCCAAATTCTTGTGGGAAAACGTATGTTTTTGAATATTCGCTTCTTCGGTCCTAACAGCGCCCAAGACGGACCCAAAGGCCCCCAAGACGACCGTAAGACGACCCAAGAGGCCCCCAAGAGGGCCCCAAGACGACCCAAGAGAGCTCCAACACGGCCCATGAGAGCCCCCCAACGGCCCACGACGGCCCCCAGAGGTTCCCAAAAGAGTCCCCAGGGAGCCCCAAGAGGGCCACAGGAGGCACCCTCGACGGCCCAAGAGGGCCCCAAGACGGTCCAAGCGCCCAAGACGGTCCAAGAGGGCCCCGGGACGGGCCAAGAGGGCCCCAAAGAGCCCCAAAAGGACCCCCAAGAAGGTCCCAAGAGGCTCCCAGAGACTCCCAAAACGGTCCCAGGAGGTTTCCCAGTAGTCACCCGTAAGCGTATGGGAGGTCTCGCTTCGACGTCCTGCACGAGGCTCCCAGAAAAGGCTTCAAGAGGCTCCCGATTCACGATCCATCTCAGGGCTTCAGAGGCCTCACAGAATCATGCCGCGTGGCCCACAGAAGCA